GGAAAGCAACTCAATCGTTCCACTACGTTACACAGACAACGGTACTAGGACATAGGAATTTTCTTCCTGTTCGAGTTACCCATTGCGCATGTGCGTGTGCCTTCTAAAGAGTGTACTTGTCATGGTTCAACAAAAAAGTTGTCTTCAAAAGTTCAAGTAGAAAAGYGGATTATATATTATATGTATTTCAATAGACAAGTCAATCAGATATCAAATCACTTGTGATTGCATGCCGCYTCGTTTTCTTCCCTCTCATTCATTTCCTCTCCATTACTGGATGACGGCRCATCGAGAGTTATGATCGTAAAAAATAACACCAAACTGATATCAGCTTGCAGACTGTCATTTTAATTCAATACCCGTAAAAAATACGGACTGKACACAGTACACTAACCTCCAATGTTCCTATAATTCTCTGATCGATTATATTTAAACTGCTTCAGTTATCCAAACTATTGCGGGCGGGGTCGTTGCGCTTCACAAAGGCGATTCCTCTTATGAATATCCGAACAACTTCTACTACRAACAACAATATAAAAAAATTGAAGCTATTGGTTTGTTTCTGCAATTATCTTTTAATTGAGATCTGTCGGATCGGTAGTATTATAGACTGGAGGGGTACCTTTAACTTTGTCTMACAGGAATTTGTTTCTCAGAATTTTTTTCCTGAATATAGTCATGATGTATTCGAAAGTGCGAGTAGTTTGTTACATAACACTGCATCATCTTGGGAACAGCATTAATAMCTATATTTAGAGAGCACGCCGTGCTTCTCATGTTTTGCGAAGCGAGACAGTCTCAGACCCTAGTGATGCCGATTTGGCGGAATGCCCACTATACACACTATACACGGGCAGTAAACTCGATCCGTATCCGATAGAATAACATTGGAAGAAGAAAAGTGAAAGATATGCCTGCCCAATGCCACTGACGCTGAGTTTTAAAGGCAAATGACGTCAGTGGTAATAATGCCAAATACGAGTGTAAGCATCAACTTGTTTGTTCTCCATCCCACGCGATACGCAAGCTAATTCAAAACGACATCTTCACTAAACATCATTTCCTCTCACGATTTCCGCGAATTCAATCAGTTAAAAGAAACTTTTGTGTTCAGTTATGCAGGTTATAAGAAAGGTAGTCAACAACAAATCTCTCGGGGGGAGGTAGGGGCGGGGGTTGCATGTTATGATAAACGATGACGAACGCTTGTACTTAAAAGGGCATAAGATTTGCTATTGTCATCCGTACCAACGAGCCTTCCCCCCTCCCCTCCCCTCCCCGACCATTCCGTGATTAGTCTCCCTCACAAAGTTGAAACATATTTCTAATAGCTATGCCTGCAACTCTAAGCTAGACATTTAGAAAATTGAGCTGGAGCCAAATTCTTAGACTTTGGCWGTGATGTGCAACGGAAAACTGCTTTACCTAGTTTGGAAATTTGCTGTAATGTAGGTAACAGTATGATAGTAAATAATGTTTTGAATTCTGGGAAGCAAACTGAGCTACTCCAGGATGCCTCAAATATTCGGGGACTTTCCTCTCCATGAATGTCGCTATATAAAAACATCTAAAGGTCGACGCAAAGCGGAACGAAAACGATGAGAGTCGAATTCATACGGATCTTTAATGTGATTGGCTCGTTGAACTCTTACGCGTGACACGGAAGATAATGCCATGTCATGTCCAGTATGYCTTGTGATMGACAATCTAAAGCGAAATCGAACATTTCATGCAGRAAAACATTAAATTAACGATGACTCTCTTCACGTCTTTCGTTATTTCGCGTTTTTGTTCGAGTTCCGTGAAATTTTGCTTAAGACTTCCCTAGTAACCAACGCTTCCATCAACATGACGTACTATCGAACAAACTAGCACGATCTCGWAGGTTAGGGGGGAGGGGTGAGAAGGTGAACACGAACGCGCAGATATTACGATGTCAATCTCAAAAGAAACATGTAAAAAAGCAGYAAATTTCGTTTAATATATATCCTATACCTTGAAAGTGACTTTCAACTATAAGAGGTGACTTTGAAGGTGTCGCTTTTTTATGAGCGAGGAAATGTGAAACCTACCCTCTCCCCCTACGTAAGTAAGTATGACGTAAGAGGGAATTTTCCATAATGATCGACTAGTACTTCCTGTATATTCTAACTACTCTGCGAAGCGAGCGATGAGAGTGTGTTTCTAACGGCTGCTATAATTTTAACCGCTTATAGATAGCGACGATGGCGGACGAAGTTGTACAAGATATTGCTGTAAAGCAAGARAAGAAAAATACAGTTCTTGAAGCGGGAGAACGAATTTATACGTTATTCAAAGTCCTTGTAAGCTTGAGCGTGGAGTCTGCTGGCATTCAGTGGGTTCAACTCAAAGGCTTGAAAGAGAATACTGAATTTGCTAAGGTTGGTTTGAAAACACGTTTTATAGTGTTGATATTGTCTATAAATTCTAAAGACCTTGCATAAAGCTAGGGTTTGCCAGGTTTTTAGAATTATGACAGCAACTACGTAAAATTTATAATCCTAGTCAAGTCTTCCTCTCGCCCGCAGAACAACAACATCATTTCTGTCGTCTATTCCTTCAATTGTGTAGAACAAYGACTTCCTCTTTCACCAAGCGCAAGTTTCAGCRTCTTTGGGTTAATCATAATTGGGCATGCGTTTCGATTCTTGGCTCAGGGGATTTTTTCCACAGAGTTTTGACTTCTCAAACTGCAAGATTGCTTGCCGAGACATGTTTTTGTTTACGAATGGAAATTTTGTGAACGCGACAGAGTACAACAATAAAATTTTTGACTATTTTAAAAGTTTAGATATGCAAGATAGAAGTGATATTTGGTTTATTGTCCCGAACAGATGAATTTTGTTTCGCTTTACATCAGAAATGAATATTTTAGTGTGAACATTAATTTTTCACTGTACAATAATATTAATCATTGATATATTAAGTTATGAATCATATTGTTTATAGAATAACACTAATATGTTTTACTTGTAATTTTTGTAATTTACAGACTTACATAAATTCCCTGTGCAGCCCAGAATTTAATTCTAAAGTACCATTCCCAGAGCATCTTTTTCAAGAACTTAGTGAATTCAAAGATGTGGTAGAGCAAGATTCTAGGGCTGTTGTGGTCTTTACATCTACAAAAGATGCTATTGTSCAAGGAAGTGAAATATCTGTGGTAATAGCCACATCTGCTATTGAGCAAAAAATAAAAGAACTTGAATCAAAACAAAATGGAGTACCGACAAACARTTCTAATAGTTATGTTGAACAGGAAAAAGTTCAAAGTGTTCCTGTTTCAAAAATTGATCCTTCTCTTAAAGAATTTGCTATGAAATTGGGGTACACAGAAGATGCAATCCAACAGGTTCTGAAAAAACAGGCTGGAAAGGAAGTTGACCAAAATATCTTACTCCGAGAACTTATCAGCGTTTCCTCTCCAAGTCTACTTCAAAAGGGGAAATCTAGTGATTCAGCCGTGCCTTCTCCTAGCACTCAAGGTTTGCATCATAGAACTGARGTTTTTTCTCATGGTCTTTCGGCTTTTATGCCTAATCCAAATGTAGTTGCAAAAAGCTGGGGGCCTAAAGATAAAACTGCTCACAGAGGCGAGGTTGTTGCACGTGGTCCTCCAGCTCAATATATACCCACTGGAACACGGCCRACAATTCAAAAAAGTTGGCCACAAGAACCTAACTCATTTGAACAATTTGATAGAACTAAATATGTTGAAAGGCAGCAAGAGGATGAACCTTTTTTGTACAATCAAGTAGTTGGTGATTCAGGGGCTGCATYGGACTCCTCGTCAGATTTGAGGCATATTGTTATAGATGGAAGTAATGTGGCAATGAGGTGGGTGCAATTTTTTTAAATTTTTCAAASTAAAACTTCTATTTTACTTAAAAATCAATGGCATGTGTATTTTCTTCAATTGGACATGTCTATTCAAACAAATGCTAGTTTGCTGAAACAGGGTCAAGGGTGTCAATCAGGAACCTCATGTTTCATTTGTGATATTGCATTACAATCCTGTGGTCACTTACATCATCTCTTGTTCTTACACATTGCTGGGGGTTTTGCTTTTATTTTCACATAAAAGAGTTATATTTTCCAATTGTGAGTGGCAAATGTCTTTAYTTCTTTGAAAAGATTTGAGAATTCATTCAACTGTGAATGATAAACAGAGYCCAGCTTTGAATGTCTCTTGTTTACTCAGATTTTGGCCAATCCAGGGTCAGATCTATTTTGGACCTTTGATTGACAGTCACTTCCCGATGTGGAAGYTAGTCTTAAATTACCAGTGTTTTGAAAGAAATGTAACCCAGCCAAGGTTAAGACACAATTCAGCAGACTTTCCTTTAAATATTTTACATTTTGTTCAAAATTTCTGTAAAAAAGAGTAAAGAATATTTTTGAATGGCTGGCTGACTAAAGTCATTATCCTTGGCACCAAATCAATATTCTGCATAATAGTGAATAAATTATAGAAATGGTTTTGAACCAATTAAAAATCAAAGGGAAAAAAATAACACTTCCAGCGTGACATCCATTAGTATTTTTTGCCCTTACATGAAGAAACTTRAATCATTTTGTTATAATTATTTATATGAGATATAAAAAGATTTTTTTTTTGTATATTATAACAAGTGATTTTCATAATCTCTTTTCATTTTACTAACTGCAATCAGCATTGACTTTAGTCAGTGTGAGCAGTATCACTTCRGAAGGCTTTCAAATCACAGAAAATTTTGATCTTATCATTCTTTACTCTAAATCTTGAAAGAATATTTAAATTGTTTTGTAGTAGAACAAAAGGTTTGGCTGGGTAATTTTAGGAATAACTCATTCCAATTCAAACAGTTTGCATTGTACTTAACAGACAAATAATACCCAAATTTGGTMTCTAACATGGAATTGCCCACACATAGATACTTTTGAATAATTGTTAATTATTCTGAAATTCTCTGTAGCTTTGAATTTTCTTTAGTAAATTTTACTTTTAAAAAATGTTGAGATTTTAACTATTTTTGTGATTGTTTCCTTTTAGTCATGGTAATCAGCAAGTTTTCTCTTGTCGAGGAATAAAGCTATGCATTGAATACTTCAAACAACGAGGACACAATGACATCACAGTGTTTGTTCCTCAATGGCGCAAAGAAACACCAMGACCAGATGCACCAATCAGAAATCAGGAGATTTTAACAGAACTTGAGCAACAAAGATTTCTTTCRTTCACCCCWTCTAGAAAAGTTAAYGGCAGACGAATTGTCTGCTATGATGATAGGTTCATTTTGAGACTAGCTGATGAAACAGATGGAATTATTGTATCGAATGATAATTTTAGAGACTTATTCAAAGAAAATCCAAAGTGGCAAGAAGTCATTGAGCAAAGAATCCTCATGTATTCTTTTGTAAATGACCGGTTTATGGTTCCCGATGATCCACTGGGAAGACATGGTCCAAAAATTGATGATTTCTTGAGGAAGGGTACAGCTTCTCACAAACGAATTTGTCCCTATTTGAAGCGTTGCACTTATGGGCTTAGGTGCCGYTATTATCAYCCTGAGAGGGACCCTAACCGAAACGGCCAAGAAGTGAAGAAGCAAGTTGACTATCGACATAGAGTCCAGGACCAAAATATGGCTTGGCCACATGTGGATATGCATGCACGATCAAGAGGGCATAACGGCATACAAGCATACCCTCCATATGGTTATCAATACGGTGGCCAACAAGGCATGCATTTTATCCAAGGGCAGGTTAGAGAGGGCCCATTAGAACTTGAAAGGCACTTCACTTCATCAACGCCTGAAGCCATCATTGATAGAGATGGAACTCTTGCTACTTTGAGAAACATTTTCCCAGATTCTGATGAACTGATCAATCAAGTCATGAGAGACAATCCAAATGCTAGCGTGCATCAGCTAGCAGATATCCTTGCACCTAAAATGAAATAATTTTAAGGTAATTTTAATGTCAAAGTTTTAGTCACATAAATTACAAGAGACACTGAGCTACAGTAACTGAATCTAGTTTACATAATGTATTTTAATAACAGAACTTTTAAGAGAGCTGTAATTTAATGGTAAAAATATGGACCTTGATTAAATCTCTCTAGAAAATAATTTTTGACTTTAAAGCAAGAAATTGATTAAAAAATGTACGAGTAGAAACACGAAGCAAGGTCCATATAGAAAACCATTTAAGCTCAATATAGTTTTAAAATACTATGAAAAAAGATCCAGTTTTCGGCCTGCCAAAAATTATACATGTACATGTAATTATATTTTGTTTTATAAAAATGCTCTGTTGTTATTGAATTGTCCTTCCAATGAATTACCAAATAGTCTTTCTTATTTCTATTTTTATTATGATTATATCATCATTTGTGTTGGAAGTTAAACATCAAGTACTTGAAATTTATCCATAAATGGTAGACTGCACGTTAAAATATAATCAGTTTAAGAAACTCTGGCTGCTAATATATATAGGGTAGCTGATATTACAAAATACCAAATTTAATTTGTCATTAAACTACTGATTATCTTTCAGTGGCCTCACAATAATATGCATAACTCCAAAGAGTGTCATTGATTTGCAATCATATTTGTTAATAAAAGACCCAATAACATGACACTATTAACATGCACCCGACATAATGATATACAATGTATGTTAGCAGTCAGACCTTATTCCACAACATATTTTAATTCATAATAAGTTGTTATCACTATATCATTTTAACTTTTATAGTCAAAAGAAAAGGACTTATTTTGGTATAGCTTTGTACAGTACGAATATGCCCTTTGCAAAAAGAGGTTTGATTAAACGGCGAATGGCAGTTATTGTGGGGAGATTTCACAACTGAAATAAGGCATGGTGTTGATAATTGATGGGAAACAACTGATTTATTCTGTAAGACAGTCTGTGTTGCAAACGGTCTCAACTCTCAACTCAGTAAGTGTAGCTATAGTACTAAATGGTAAATGAATCTCCAGTAGAAAATTGCCATTCGTCGATCTCGACAACGWTTWTTGAATAGGTGTGTTGAGTGACATCAAAAAACCCATTTTCTTTTGTGCCTATTTGACTATCAGAATTTAGTAGTCTACTTTTGTTTCACGGGTTTAATTGACCTCACTCTTAAGAATGGTTTCCTGCGCCAATAAGTTGTGGGTATAGCAGATGTAAGAATCGTTACATTGATATGTTATACTTATTAAGTATTGTTCAATGATGTTGTTCTCTGTGAGAGCATTAGATTTTTTTATTGTTAAATGTGATAGAGAGAAATAATAAACGCGCATTTGAACGAAATTTGTTTTCTTCTTTTGTTAATTCACACTACAACACACAACAACAACAATAATTCAAAGATATTTAAAATTTGCGAATGAAATATATAAAAATTTATTTTACCCTGTTTAAGACACTAGATGAGCTATCTACGCCGAAATCATAAAAACTGCAATTATACTAACATCCACCAAGGCCCCCCGCCCCTCCCCGGGAGGGTTCCCTATTCCGTATTGCCGCACAAAATCATCTGAAATCCGGTGAGGCCAGCCTGCGAAGTGTCTGGTACAATAATCAATATTTCTACTTCATACAAATGATCTATAATGAAAAATGAGCAGGAAGGAAAGCTTGTTCACGTTAGCGTACCCACGTGTACGCCAAGGAACCAATGTCATGTCGGGGGATCGGCGGGTGCGTCGACGTGAACATAGAGCGGATTTCGTATGAGTGGGAAACGGACGGTACTGTACTGTGACCGTAATCGTACTGTAACCAAATTCTAGTGCCCCATTGGTTCACCAAAATTGTGCAGGCCAGGTGCGGTAACTGTGCGGTAACCGTGCGGTAACGGTGTCCCACTCATACAAAATCCGCTCTAAAGCATGCGGTTGCCGGAAATATATTCAATGCGGAGAATTATGGGATACCTATTGTTATGTAAATTTCATGCTTTATTTCCGGCACTTAAAATAGCACATACGTACACCTCCAAAAATTCTGTGTAACTAAGAAACTACGGACCAAAGACAAAATTGGTTTAGGCTGATATGCTTCATTTCGAAACAGCGCAAAAATCCGAACAAATTCCAATCAGTTAAAATCTGCCTTATTCAGCAACAGGCAAATTATGGAAAAAAGCTACAATAAACGAGGGGCATAATATACAATACGTAAACTTGTTCAATTCGCATAACAAAACAACAAATTATGTATAATGCGTCATGGCGCATTGATTGGTTAACAACCTGTGCTGAAAAAGCCGTGTGAAAGAACCATTAGAAACATGGATTTCCAGCATTAGAAGATATTTTCCTTGTTTCAATTCTCTGTTAGAAATACTTGGGATTGCACCGAGAACACTCGTCGACTAAAAGGTCAATCGGTTTTGAGCTCACTCTCAAACCTGCCTCGCGTTCCTAGTTTCATCTCTTTTCCGACMAAGGATTAACGTCCGAAAGGTCAGTAAGTTGTTTCACCTACTTTTTACGGTATTAAATTTATCTTTTTACACAAGTCTCTCGTGTTCCCACGTTTCTTTTGAGAGATGGAGAACACGGAAATATCTCAAAAAGGTTTTATTAAAGAAAATCTATTTTGGTTAGTGCAACGCAACAGCTTGTACTCACGCACATAAAAGATATAAATCAAACTTTTGAATTTTAAGAAAAGTCGGTCCTATATTATGACGTAATATATCTTCAACAAGTGTCTGCATGAGAATGATTGGCCGAGAAAGCTACTGATTTAGAGACGACGTCCAGATGCTGAGAACATTCCAGCACTGAAGAGATTGCCATAGATTTAGGAACGCAGGCTCTATTAAATTCCTTGGAATGAGAAGGAGTTTTCATTTTGTCCAAAAAATAGAAGCGAATCGGCCCCGGATCAGTAAAGTCAACATTCAAATGTCTAGTGATTAATAACGTCTGCGTCATTGAAAGACCGTCTCAATTACACCAGGAAATAAGCTTGAATGCTTAAATATCTGTGGGATATTGATGATTGGCTCAAAACTGTACATGACTTCATAGGTCCTCGTGGCAGTTACGCGTATTTCAGTAAGCAGTAAACAACTGGCTTTCAGCCATACTGGTTATTCTGGTTACGTTAAAATGGTCCAGATTTGTGGTCATAACTGAACTGTTGTGTGGTTAGGTTACGCCGATAAGGTACGAAAAATTGTTACTCTCAAGTGACCATTGAAGCTAAAGGAAGAATTTTAACCGTTATGTATCAGTCAACTAGCTAATTAAATAAGAAAATAGACTAAATGAATACGAATAGCATTCTGATTTATGTTGTATTTCAGAATTGATTAGTGTTTTCAAAATATTATGCTAAGTTAAACTTATTAATATAAATTCCTATCAGCAGTGCACAAAAATTACAGTAGTGACCCAGTAGGCCTCGATCRAACTGGTAAGAAGATTTATTTTAAGAGTGCAATATTAGATTTAAAGTGTGTACATGCCCGGCTGCCGTGGCGTAAATAGTGAAARTCCACATGAACAAATTCAAAATTACTGAACTAATAAAGTCACTTAGTCCTACCATCATGCGTTAGGTATTCAGCGATGAAAATATTGATTTAGGCTTGACTACCAGGCTCGTAACTATTTGAAACAATAGAAAACTGTCGGGCATACATTCACAGCGTAGATTGTCGTCTTATATATTTCCAGTTATATATAGGAAAATGGAACGAATAGGTGAGTGRAAAAAAAAAACTAAGAACAGGATTTTCAAACCAGCGAAATTAATTATAAATTATTGAAACCAAAATGACCTGATACTAAGTTATGATTGTGTTCATGATGTTGTGCGACTTGYACGCTTTTAAACAAGACCTAGTGCCAACTATCCTTACGTTACATTTAGATAACTAATGCCATAATAAACATCTTTCGTGATCGTATTTTCGAATTCTTCAATCCTTGACTAAGCGCTGATACAATTATCTTTTTGAAGTAATAAAAACTTCATGGATAATTGAGGGTAAATGCTACGTAAAAGATACATATTTCGACTCTGGAATATTAGTTAACTGCATAACTTCGTAGTTACGTATAAGTAAGGGACCAATGTAGTGACTACTGGCATCAATGTCAACTTCTTGTACTTCCGCAGTGCTTGCTGTCAATTTTTAGTTACTATGGTTTCTACTGAATTTAAATTGGAAGTTGTAGCCATATTCTTACTCTCTACCCCCTTCAAATCGCGTTTGTTATTGTGTTTTCAGCGTTAAAAGCAACCGTTTCGATTATGTTCCAGGGCACGTGGCAATGCTGAAGCAATATTAGCATTGACCGAAATTCATAAGGGATCTGGAAACGAGAATACTCCATTCATCGCTATTAAATGCCTCCATAGGAAAGAACAAATTACCTACAGTTACCGGTAACTTCAAGTTGACCTCCTCTGTTTGATTAAATGCCCAACGAGTGACAATTTTTGGAATTTTGCGAAAATTAAATATAAGAGAGAATATATGCATGTTTTCTCTAATGTCGCATACATTCATTTATATACTGCAGCGAGTAGAGGAGTACACAGATATAATTTGATTCATGAAAGTCACAGCTGGCTTTTCAACAAAACCTGTATAGTTATCTAGTGATATGACTTGGTCAATCAACTACTTTCGACAAATGTTGTCTCTACGATGGGAAATCGACTGGGGAAATATTTGTTTATAGCTTATTTTGTCATTTTTGCCGTTTCTCGTGTTTCAGAGACTGATGACAGWGATGATTCGTTGGATTTCTTTCTTGCAGTTGGTATTTCTTTTAGAGTCAGGTTGGTAATATATTATGGTAGAGACAAAATAGTCTGTGTTACCATGGTAGTTTCACAAGCATGCTCGACATGTAGCGCCTCACTCGTCTTCTGTGAACTAAAATTAAATTATCGTGACAAGTAATTGATAGATTGTATATTAAACAGTTTTGAACTTGCATAGTGAACCGGTGAACACCAAGAATGAGTACAACCATTTCCATTAAAGAGCTTCTGCTTATATTGCGATTTATTTTTATTTTCAATAAAAAAAAAAAAACTTTCTAACAATGAGGGATGCCGGTTGAACATGGTATGATAAATGCAGGTGCCATAAAAGCACCTTTAAAAACAGTTTAAAATTATCTGGAAAACAAAACAAAAGACGGAAAACATTGTTTAATTCCCCTCAGATATAAATGCATTCTCACGACGAACTGCAAGAGATCTATATTAACCCCATATCGACCGCACTAGRGAGAAACGCACTTCGCATTGGTATGTCTTAAAAACAAAATGGCGACTAATTCCGGTTCGCATGCATAAAGGACAAATATATTTCTTCGTATATACAAAAAGAGTAAAAGAATATCATGTCACTGTAGAAGGAGAACMTTAACTTTTCAATATTATTTCAATTTTTTCGATTTTATGCAACACTCAAACCATYGGCATCAAATAAGTTTCTCATTGTTAGAGGACGTCTTCCAAGCATGCGCCGTGCGTTTCTCCCCAGTGTTCCCCTGACATTTTAATCCATCGCTCCATTGTCATTCTTTCACGTTATACTGGTTTCACGTAATTTGGTGATTAAGCTTTACAACTGAACTCCCACTTCTCCAGGAACAATTGTTATATTCAACGCATGTACATTATTTTTTTTTTGCAACAGATGCAACACAGAACGTGACCCTTCYAGCAAGGTACGTAACTTTCAATATTTCAGGTTCATTAATGGTTTCGTTTGATCTCCTTGAGTGGGAATTAATCCCTTCCCAGGCGATAGACTTTTGATTGTTGCTATTATGTGCGTGCAAGCACTTTACAGGGGACTGACCTGTAAACGAAACAAGGTAGATTTTCCTTTATTGTAAAATGTGTTATTATTGGAAACGTCCTTTCGCCATCATCCCTGCGGGAACACCATTGAGAAGTGAGGAGCGGCAGCAAGAGATGTTAAGCCACCAATGACAGTGAGGAACGACAGCAAGAGATGTTAATCCATCAATGACAGTGAGGAGCGACAGCAAGAGATGTTAATCCATCAATGACAGTGAGGAGCGAGAGCACTGAAACACCTGGAACCACCAATGGGGAGTGAGGGACGAGAGCCAGAGACAGCAATGCACCAATGAGAAGTGAAGAGCGAGAGCAAGAAACTTTGAACCACACCAATTACAAGTCAAGAACTGGAGCGAGAGACGTGGAACCCTCAATAGAGAATGAGGAGCGATAGCAAAAGAAGCTAGATTACAGATGAGAAATAATATAATAATAATAATAATAATAATATGTGGTATTTATATAGCGCCAATATCCTCTGAGTTCAAAGGCGCTTCACATGTATAGATCATTTCACACGGACCGCTGTTTAAAAGGCGCAATTGGCAGCCACGCGGCTTACAATCATGAGGGGTTAGTAATTAGTATGGGTTAGTAGTAAGGCCTAGCCACACACACCGGGAATCATTCCCTACTCTTATGCGAACAGTGGTGTGGGTTCTTTAACGTCCCTCTAATACAGGTTAGTGAGTGAAGTGTAGAGAGACGGGACCTCCGATTTTACGTCGTTATCCGAGAGGAGCGAAAGAAAAAGACGTTCAATTGGAAGTGAGGAGATGTGGAACCACCTGTGCGAGACAAGTCTGATGATCGAGCTGTCAATGAGAAAGCGAGAAGCGCAGTAAGACGGAAACGGAAATTCTAAAGGGCAATCAATGAACTTGAGGAGATGTGGAGTCTTCAATAATTAAGAAGTGATCAGCAAATCAAAGTTAGAAGGGACTAAGCAGAACTATTGAGAATTCATAAGCTGAGTAAGAAGTCACAGTGATTATCGATAATTCTTGTTGATAAATTAATTTGCCAAAAAGCGAAGCCATTTGGATAAACGATGCAAAATTAAAACACCTTCATTTTTCTTCAAAATTA